AATTCTCATTTCATAAATACTTGCTGATGGGACTTATCACCAAATTGGAATATCAACCTGCTCCTATATTAAATAGAGACCTGCCTTGATTTTGAAGTTTTTAAATTTTTTTTCTTCTCTTTCTGGACATTCACAGTAGGGCTCTGAATGAAAAAGCACAATATGAACAAATTTTAAAATGCTATGTGATCAACCTGACAATGCAAATAAAAATATCCCAAAGTAGAAACGAGTAGATTTTTAATACAAAGAGAAATAAAATTATTCACTTACCAACCACTTATACAGTTTGTTTTTCCCCAAGAACACATTTTAAAATCCAAATAGAATATGAGGAACAGTATAAAGTTGTGAAAGGGTAATAGAGAACTAAAGCACTCATTTATAAAGAAAAATATCAGAGAACTCAGGCTTCTATTTACTGACAGAACCTTGGTTTACTCTTCTTCCTATTGAGGTCTTACTGACAAATGGTGACTGACAAGTCAAAATATATGTAACATTTCTCCTGTTTCAATTCAGAGTATTTCATTGTAGTATTTTCTGAAATTCTCTGTGACTGTGTATGTTTCATTATCACTGGTTATGATGAGGGACTAAATATTAAGAATGAGCATTTATTAAACATGAAAATTTTCATGTTTATAAAATATGAAAAACATGTTTATAAACATGTTTATAAAAACATGGACACACTAAAAGAATGACTAATAATTCCTTAGCACTTAAGATATGCGAGTTTCAATTCAGTGCAGATTAGTATTGCATCAGAAAGCAAATCAAAAGCTCCCCTGGTAACCAAAGCAAAAAGCCCTAAATATCATTAGTATTAGAGCCCTAAACCCCATACTTTAAAATGCTAAGTGAATCCTTTATAGAGGAACTAAAGTACTTAAAGAGAAACCACTCAAATGACATTTATCTAATAAAAATTGTAAAATTAGCTAAAATGAAGGCCTCAAAACAAAATAATCTCTAGTAAACATGTCAAACCGCTATCACAAATACCCGCTTTTAGACATGAACCACATGACTGCATTACAAGGATGAGAGACCATCACTGATAAGTTGGCAAAGCTGGGAGAACAAAGAAGACAACTCGGATCTCATTCAGTGCTTACAGTGTCTGTAGTTTGGCATGCTGATTATGTCACAGACATGCCATGGCATCCCAGAATGGAGGTGTGACAGTAAATTTGATGTGCGTATGTGTATACACAATTTAGACCATAAGTTATAAAATTTACATACCATAAATAAACATATGATATAGATTACTTTTGAAAACATATATATATATATATATGTATATTTGTCTTTTTGAGACAGGGTCTCTTTGTAACCCCAGCTGTCCTAGAACTCATTATGTAGAGCAGGCTGGCCTCGAACTCACAAAGATCTGCCTGCCTCTGCCTCCCAAGTGCTGGGATTAAAGGCATGAGCCACCATGCCTGGCGTGAAAACATATTTTTTAATCAATGAAAACTTTAGAATATCAAGATCATAAAATAAAAATGAAACAAAACAGAAATGCTGGGCTGCTCTGGCTAAAGCAAGGTGGACTAAGAGGGTCTCTCCTTCCCACGAGAGTGCAGGGTATGGCTGAAGCACCACCTGCCCTACATCCTGCTCCCATTGCAAAGGTCAGTCACAAACCTCTTCCCCACTGAATGGGACCATATGCAAACGTTATAATAATGAAACTGAGTATGAAGGTAAAAAGTAACATTTCTCCTTTAAAAACAACTAGTAAAATAAAATCACTATGCTATATAAAAACCCACATCATTTTTAACCTTACAATCTTAAACTGGATACTTGGAAAAAAGTTTTTCTTAAAGTGCCTAAATTTTAAAGACTTAATTTTATTTATATAAATTTTATTCAAAATATAAGAGAATGGATACAGTAGGCAGAAGTACTATTTTTCTCTGTAAAACACGCATCTTTTCCCTGAATGACCAATTTAAATATTTTGCTCAAGTTTCTTATCTTTGTCATAGAATATGCCACTAAGAAACGTGCATAGAATGGGTCGGTTATAAAGACATCTATCAGGTAAACCGATTCAATGGTCTGAGTTTGTTTTAGACAAACCATTAATCTCTTTGCTGCAAAAAACCTCCTGCTCATGGAAGGATTACTTTAATTCATGCAGTTGATATTAGCAAAATACAAATAACATTCTCTTCTGTAAAGATCATGATTAAATCTCTAAATTCAATAAATAGACTCTAATAATTTGAAATCCTATCAAATATTTTATATTTGCAAAGTCTCAATCTTTCTTCTTTTCTAATACATCCTTGGGCTCCTGCACGGTCGGCACTAGAGAGCCTCCACTGCCTGACTCCTGTTCTCTGCTCTCTTCTATCTGCTCCTGGCTCTCCATCTCACTTTTAGACACTTCATACCGCTCTTCTATATAGCCGCCGTCTGTGTCAGCTGTGTAGATTCCATAGCACATGATGCTGATGACACCCAGTGGCAGGCCGAAGAGAAAGCAGCCCATAAGTGGAGAACTCTTGAATATAGACTGTGGAGAGGAAAATAACTCAGTTGCATTTGAATGGAACGCATAAAAAAGGATGAACTAAATTTAAAGCCATATCAGGCTTCTTCTTGTTCTTATTCAGCTTTTATTTTCAGTGAATAAATGTCAATACCTAAGCAATAAGTACTATGTTAAAGACGCTCTAAGAGAAAACTCTATATTCACGCATGCATGTGTAAGTGTACTCCTGTGTAGAACTGGCTGTTGGCAGCAAGGAAGGGACCAAACAGCCTGAGAATGTAATAAAGACACTTCTTTGTCTTACACTACCAATAAGGTCTCTTTTAAATGATTACTGTTACCGGACAGCTTTAAAACTATGTGTGGGAGTGGGGAGGGTGCCATTTAGAAAGTGGGTATATAGATGAGTAAGATTGTGTGGGATGTTCTGTATGATATACACACAAAAAAATCAACAAATTAAAAAAAAAGATATTTGAGGTGGAAGCATAAAAATTTACTTCATGTTAAATAGTACAGGTGATAAACATTACCACTGAAATCTACTTGATGACTTTATATTCATGCTCAGGTACTAAGGATCCGAGTGTAATTGACTGTGATGAGTAATAAGCAGATACATAGAGATTAAAGACACGTGCAAAAATCTAAGCGTTAGTAACAATAAGTGTAAGAAACAGCATATTTTAAAATGAAATGGAGATCTTCTTTAAAAGGTAAAAACTCAGTTTTATGTCTTGCAGGGTTTATACTGAGTTCAATATTGTATAACTGTATTAATTCAACTGTGAACCTAAAAATTTACAGCCACTTTTGGAAGAGATGTATCCTTGCTCTGGAAATTGTTACTGAATATGTTAAAGCTGTAATGAAATGCTTCTTCTACTCATGTGGTTATTAAATAAAAAATAAATAAAAAAAATATGTGCTGAATGCTAGGAGCTGCTTGTGCAGAGGGTCAGGTTCTTTCCCGTGAAGTCTCCACACCTTCTCTCACATGACATTTTCACATCTGTGTTATCTGATATCTAGTGAGGCCACATTAGCTTGCTTACTAATTCCCTTCATGTTATAAGCTATTTCCTCAGCTATCAGAAAAAGAAAAATAATTTTACTGAATAGGTTTTTACCACTAAAATGTAATTCAAGGGTTGTGTCTCTTTTTTCATTGACTTTTTAAATTTCATATATTTCCCACTCAAATCCAGACCCCCTCCCCTATCCATGCCTCCCCCATCCCCCACTGAACTCTACACACTCTAAGAACAGTATAGAGAAGTCCAGAGAACAGAAAGATCACTTTAAATTGAGACAACAGGAGGTTTCACAGAATAACCACTGGAAATGTAAGGATAAGTGAAGAAGGGGAAGAATAAGGTGACTCGTGGGCACTAGCTCTAGTAAGCCTCAGCGACACTCAAAGGCCAACAAGGAAAGTTCTTCAGAGGAGCAGTCTTCAGATGGAGCTCCTTGGAAAATGGAAAGAATGCGATCAAAACTGCAGTTGCACAGAGATGGAGACTGGAGGTATGAACCCTGTGAGAGGGAGGGCAGAAGCTAGACACAATGTGGACCAGACCAATTCTGTCAGTGGCTACAGGAAAATGCATGTGACTGAAAACAGAAGGGTGCTATGAACGGGGAGTTCTGATTACTCAAATTACTTCTCACCAATAAAGAAGGCTAGCTACATTTTTATGATGGCATCCGTCCACAACAAATGAAAACAGGTATGAGCAGCTGGAGACTGACAGCTGGGCGAACAATGACAGAAAACACTGCCGGAAAGGATTTGACCATTGCATTATAATTCTATACTTGACACCTGCTTCTTAAAGAAGAAAAATAAAGAACAAAGAAGGGGAAAGAAAGCAAGACAGAAGGACTATGAACATCTGTGAGGGATTTTAACTATTTACCAACTGGGAAAGTATGGAATTCACAGGAATGCTAGAACTTTCACATCTAACCTTTTACTTTTATTATTGTGAAGAATAAATTACAGCTCAAGAAATCATTGTTTTCAATAAAAATGCCAAATCACAATTTCCTATTTACTTTTTTTTTGGTCTTTTTGAGACAGGGTCTCCCTGCAGCCCCAGCTGGCTTGAAACTCACTATGGAGACCAGACTAGACTCGAACTCACAGAGATTCACCTGCCTCTGCCTCCCAAGTGATATTTACATTTTTTAAGAAATATTTTATTTATTATTTTTATTGCATGTGTGTGTATTGCCTGCATGTAGGTAAGTGCACCCATGTCGTGCAATGCCTGCAGAGGTCTGAGGAGGCTGTGGGATCCCCTGGAACTGGAGTTAAGGACAGTTGTTAGCTGCCATGTGGGTGCTGGCATTCGAACCTGGATCTTCTGCAAACACAGTCAGTGTTCTTAACCCCGGAGCCATCTCTATAGCCCCTTCATATTTACATTTTTAATCCAACGATAGAATTAATAAGAGTTTTTTTCAAGGAAGGTTGAGGAAATTAATGAATTTAGGTCATACTATCAAACTGACTGTGAATTTGAGATACACACCAATCATGCAAAAATGATTAAAGGAAATTAATGCTTCTTAATGAGAATACAGACTGGTTTGTATTCTGGAGATTATAGATACATCCCAGTCTAATCCTTTGAAATGTTAGATTTTACTGCTGCTAGACATAAAGAATCCACACTCTCTTAATTATCAAAGATACTAAACTGTCAGAACTTACCACAATTGTAGATTTTGCATCAAATATTATTCTTTTCAATCTCTGCAAGATGCTATCACCTCCTTGAGCCTTCAATTTAATGAGAATAAAAAGTTATTCAAGTACTAAGGCTATTATACAGATCATTCCACAAATTCAGTGCTAAACACTCACCCCATCAGCTCCTGTATCCCTGCTTTCCTGTGCTAACACCCTGAAGAATTCCTTCTAACCGCCTCATAATCCCTGCAGCTTGTTGGAAGCTCACCACCATTCTAACTGCCCAAGTGACTCAGGCTGCTTAGCTGCAGCTGTGACAGGAGGCTTTTGCCACCATGTAGGGAAGAGGGTAAAGCTCAACAGCTCAAGTGCTAAGAAACAGAGAAAAGTCCCATGTGTAATCAAACCCTGGCATCTAGGCATCCTAGAAGTCTGCTCATTCTTTGAATTCCTTAACTGCAGGACTAATGGAACTTCTGTTATCAGAAAGTCTGATCAGGTTTTACAAAGTCAGAAACAGAAGGGTTCTCACTCCTACAGTGCATTTCAGTTCAAGTAAAGTATCATTTCCACAAATACAATGTTGTTACTATGTGACTAAGAGAGTTTTCCAAACTTATTGACATTAAGCCAAGATAGATATGCATCTAGGTTTTTCAAAGAAAGAAAGGTCTCAGAAAATGGTAGTTACTTGAGCTGATACGGGTCTAGTGAAGCAATAGAACTCAGCATGTACGGCAGAATGCACAGGGTTCAGTGGGGGGAAGGGAGGAGGCATAAATGGGAGAGGGGGTTTTTATTTGAATGGGAAATGTTGTGTGAAATTAAAAAAACTCAATAAAGTATGTTTTAAAAAAGAAAAAAAGAGAAAATGGTAGTTATATTTTAAGGACGTGACAAAGACTCTTGCTTCCTTATTTGTTCATTGGATTATGATGTGTACTGGTCACAACATGATCATGACCTGAGGGAATTTTGTGACCTTGAATAAGAGTTGCAACCTAGTTTGCAAAACACTGCAGTAAGATTTACAGGGGAAAGAAGAAAAGAAAAAGAAAATTAAGGCTATGTATTCACTCATCTATGACAAATATTTTACAGGATTATGTTTAAAATCGGAGTTATAACTTTCAATGCATTTTTTGATCTTTTAAGAAATTATGGTGAGGGCTGGAGGGATGGCTCAGCGGTTAAGAGCACTGACTGCTCTTGCAGAGGACCCGAGTTCGATACCTGGCACCCACATGACGGCTACGAACCATCCTTAACTCCAGTTCCAGGGGAATCCAAAGCCCTCTTCTGACCTCTGTGGTATTGCACGACATGTGTGCACTCACTTACATGCAGGCAATACACTCATACACATAAAATAAAAATAGTGAATAAAAAACTATTAAAGAAAGAAAGAAATTATGGTAGTTTTCACAGATTTTCTTAGACAACTAATTCCTGTAACAATTCAGTTATCCTTAATTCAAAAGACCCACTTCAAATATTAAGTGCCAAGAAAATTCACTAAAGGAATTACTCCACAATGCAGGCCTCTTAATATCTTTAGCCCAACCCTAAATGCCATACCACTTCCCCATCACTGTGACAAGCCAAGATGTCCCTGGATAAGCCCTTGAGGGCATTTGTACCTATAAGTGGCTTCTGCTCTACAAGAACCTTCTACGACTGGGAAACTGAATGAGACAGGAGAGCACAGGATGGAGACCAGTTCCTCCTCACTGCCAAGTCATGTTACCTATTCCTTTCAAAATCAGAGGTAAAGAAACAGTTGATTTCTCTTTTACCTCCTCCTCTTCATCCCTCTGAAATGGAAAGGAACTACTTACTTGCACTGTGCCATCTAAAATGCTGTTAATGAACTGGACCATGTCACTGGCCTCCTTAATACGCCTATCTAGCAAAAAGTATTGTTGGTTTGAAGTATTCAGTACAACTACAGTTGGGACTGCCAATTCACTGAAAAATAAAAGAAATGAAATTTGTATTAAGCGCAGCAATGAGTATTCTAGTGCTTTTATAACTCAGCACAGTTAAGAAGTCGCTTTTTAATAGCTTTATCCCCCTCGCCTATAAGAAAATTTCAAGTTCTGTAATAAATTTATCATTAACCAGGATGAAAATGTTCTAACACTGAACAGACACCTGAGTAATTGTGATTAAAGTTAAGAATAAAAACTGTGCCGGGCCTGGTGGAGCACACCTTTAATCCCAGCACTTGGGAGGCAGAGACAGGCAGATCCTCTGTGAGTTCCAGGCCAGCCTGGTCTATAGAGTGACTTCCAGGCAGCTGGAGCTACAGGGGGACCCGGTGTCAAAGAGACCAAAAAAAAAAAAAAAAAAAAGTGTGCTAAACAATGTATCAATTTTTATCTCTGTCACAACTATATGAATCCTATTCAACCCCACCTCATATGGTACTCAGAAAACTAGACAGGCAACAGAACAGTCTCTAGAGCCATCCTGTTTGTGTTTGAGTCCAGAGCTTTTTCTTAAATATTATAGGATATTAGGTAAGTGATTTAGCTTCTTACATATAAATGGTTTTAAATATAGGTAGCCAGGGTATTTGACTTGCTAAAAAATTACCTGAGAAAATTCCAGTTAAACATGTGGCACAGTGCCTTATATGTAACACATTTTGAACAAACACTATTGTGAATTCTCTGTAGTCTCCTGTCATGCTACCCAACAACGAAAGAAAGAAAAAAATATATATTCATATATATATTCAAGTATATGTGGAACATTAACAAAGACAGACCACATCTTAGCACACAAAATCCCGTTGAATATGAAATGCTCTAGACAGGCTCATATGCTGAAGGTTTGGTTCAGAGGAGGGGGAGATGTGCAGCAAGATGTGTTTTGGACATGACATAACTATTCCATGTATGAATTCACTGCAACTGTGTTATCTACACAAAACCTGAGCAAGACTTGGCCATCAACATTTCATCACGGATCGGGGAGAGACCTATGAGGCTCCACCTTTTCTTAGGGACTACTGGCAGTTAATGGTTGAGAAAAGAGAGACCACTTTCTTCAGGGGTGCAGACACTGGCATATTACTCATGGTCCAGGAAGAACCTATCACTCACACTCATGCAAACAAAATTTTGATTAAATTAAATTGGGTCACACACAAAAAGAGGATATGAAAGCAAGAGGAGACCTGCTGGGGCAAAAAAAGGGCTTTAGTGGGAGTTGGGGAGGTGGGAGAGAGGGGAATGGAGGGTGAAAAGAACTAAATTCAATACATCCATGTGTGAAACTGTCAATGAATTAAAAGAACGGAAAGAGTGCCAACTATATCTAATGTCTTTAGTAATTATCTACTTTATTATTTAATTTTCCTTTGTCTTGACTCCATTATATACTAGATCTGGCACTCAATCTTTTGTTAAATGCTATCAAATTTTTATTAGAATGATGAGTAATGCCAATCATTATACTATAGACACAATAGATGAAGATATTTAAAAATTATCAAATTTTCTTAGTCTATTAAATAACTTTTTTCTAGAATACCTTAACTTTTGAATGCTAAAAAATTTTGATTTAGTAGTTGTAATTACCTACTAAATATTTATTTATTTAACGTGTGTGTGTGTGTGTGTGTGTGTGTGTGTGTGTGTGTGTGTCATGTCCGAGGACACTCTCAGGAATTGGTTCTCTCCTGCCACCTTGTGGTATATGAAGATCAAACTCAAGTTGCTGGGCTTGTGTGCAAGCACCTGCTGAGCCACCTGACCTGCCCATAATTAGATATTAAAACTGAACTGATTCATGTACACATTAAGCAAGAACTACACAACATATATACATATTTTAGAATGGTATCTTTTGAAAATACTGTAACATATAATGTTGAATTGGGAGGTGATTATTTACAGCAAAGAGTAAAATTAAATTTCATTAAGTTGCAAATACAAAATTTAAAAACTAAAATAAAACTTTTAATGGGAGAATATCTGCATCAGACTATACCACGTGTATTATTTTTCAGCCATTTAAACCTTTCCCACCTCTCAGAATCAAAAAGTTAAGAGAACAGATTGCTAGAAAAATTATTCAGCAATTTACTTACTCCATTAGCAAGGTGTTTAAATAGTCATTTCCATCCATATGGCCAAATTGAAAATCTCTTAATGAACAACAGCAACGACGAACAAACAAAAAAAAGAGGGAGAGAGAGAATACAGTATTAGATTAGTAAGAAAAATGTAAATGATATAGTATAATATAACAAATGGAACTTTAGATCTTGCTAAGTAAATATAAATATTTAACATGAAAATCACAAGATTGATACAGATGTGTGTGAGTGTGTGTGTGTATGTGTCCTAATGGTTTCTGAGATACAAATAAATAGTAATAACAAATTCAAAACATTTCAATTCATTTATATATATTTAAATACAGAGAAATAAAACATCCTCCCAGAGGAAATATATTTAAGATGTGGCTGGCCTTGCAGAGTGAGAACTGCCTGTTGAACTGCATGGTGAACTATTTGGAACATGAAGACTATGGATACTGTGAGGTTCCTACTGCTGTCTGTCACAAACCAGCAAATGCAACCAGTGAGCACATAGCAAAACTTTTCACTCCTAAGTACATTTTACATTCAGTTAATTTTCTGAGTTTTTATTATAATCATCTCTTCTGATATCTGACTCCACATTCAACTTTTCTCAAATTTATGAATATATGTGCATAGTGTTCTTCCACAAACCTATGCCAGATACTTTCAGGAAGCAGAAAAGATATGGATTATAAATAATAAAGACTGTGTTCCTGTAAGTCTTAAGACACAGCATGGATAAGTCAAAAGGTCCAGACACTTCATGCTGACATTTAGCTGTCATTCACTATAGTTCTTTGATTAACCTTTCAGAGCTGAGATGCAGGCTAAGTATCGCTTATCTGAAATGCATAGGACCAGATGTTCTTCAAATTTCTAAATTTTTTTAACATTTGCATATAAATAATGAGCTACATAGGGTAGGGCACTCAAATCTAAATACAACATTCATTTCTAGTCCACATATACACATAGGCTGAGGAAATCATATACAATTCTTTAAGTGACTGTGTTCTGACTGCTATCCTGAAGGCAGGTGTAAAATGTTCCACTCTTAGATTCATGTCAGAACCCATGTTCTCAGAGAGATCTCAGAGCATCTCAGTTATCAGGCTCTGGAATCTAAGATTTGGGCTGCTGATTTCACTTTACTACACTACAAAACCAAATGAAACAAAAATAATCTTCCAGAATGCAAGCACATACCTATGGAAGTGGTCTCTGTAATCTTTGGCAACTTCCTGAATAATTGACTTTAATCTGTAGAAGAATAAATATATAAATATTTAACTTCTTCAAGTAAGGAACACAGTTATCCAGCTGTAACATGTTGCCTTATCTAGACACTGCAGGCAGAGCAAGATTCCTCTATCAACTTTACCTAAATCATGAAAAGCCTGATCTGGATGGTATTTGATGTTCAAATCTATTTCAACATACCTGGTATGCTCGAGTGATGTGTTTTTCTCATCAATAACTGCAATAGCTACAAGCTTTCCTGAAATTAAGAATGACATCTTTCATTTCCTAAAATTGAGAATGACATAACTCTCATTATACAAACTTTTCAACTTTGCTTCATCTGAATGGGAAGTATCAAAACAGGTTTCTAAAATTTAATTCCAATCACTCTATACACTTAGAGAAAATTAAATCAACACATTTTGCTGCAGTACTTTTAGCCTGCATCAGTGACCTAGTCAACTTCAAATGATACATTTCCTCTACCTCCAAAAAATAAATAATAATAATTCATTATAATTTCTCTATTAAAACTATTTATGCAGCTGGGCATGGTGGCAAGTATCTTTAATTCTAGCATTCAAGAGGCAGAAGCAGGCAATCTCTGTGAAAGAGAGGCTGGCCTGGTCCACATAGCAAGTTCCAGGCCAGTTGGGGTTACAGGGAGACCTTGTCTCAAAAAAACAAAAACAACAAAAAAGTATTTATGCAACTCATAAAATGACAGAATATTATTTCAAAAGCTACACCACAAAGAGTAAGGTGATTTTAAAAGGCTACTAAAAGTTGTTGTAGCTGAAAAAGAATGGTATACAATATAGAGATGATCCCCACTCCCAGAGATGATTTTCCATGGTCATTTGCTTTGCTACAATGGTTCACTATTTTTGCCATAGAGGCTGTATCCCAAGCGGCCTGGTTCCTGCAAGGGGTGGGGCCTGCTGCAGAGAAATGACTGTGGCAAGTTAGCCACGGAGGGAGGGGTTTGGGGTGCCATCTTGGACCAGAAGCAGCAGCATGGAAAGATGGCCCCAGTGTCTTGCCCATGTGGACGCAAGAGGGGGCATTTACCGACCTGGGGCAAGACTGCTGGCCCACGATGCATAGGCGAAAGCTATCAGACACTGTGGATGGGCACAGAAGTGATCTTGAATGGCGAGCTGAGCTGCGCAGTGCTGGGTGCCAAGTGTCGGGTGTTTGATAGATGTACATTATGGTTTGTCTACTCACACCAGGAGCAAGGGACCCTAAGATAACTCGGGTGACAAATTGGTGCAGGTCGGCAGGATGATGGCGCTAGGAAAGGCAAACCTTGGGAGTTTGGAAAAAGCTAGAGAGCTAATGGCGGCACTGATGTGCATTTTACAGTGGATTATAAAATATGTAACTGAAAAGAGGCCAGCCATGCAGAAGTGTGGGCCACAGCTGTTTTGTAAATAGGAGGAAACAGCCCAATTATGGATATATGAAGATTTGTTAAAGGTTGTAGAACAACTAAAAAAACTGTTGCAGGCCATGGACACTAGTGGAGAACCCAGAGAGAGGGTGTGGCCACTGTGCATAATAAAAGATATGCCCAAGGCAGGGAAAGCCGAAAAGTCTAGGGAAGTACTAGTGGACCCAGTTGCAGAGCTTGAGAGAGGAAAAAAAAAGGACCAAAAAAAGTCCAAGGACTCAGATCAACCATTGATACAAAAGGAAAAAAAAAGTAACAGTGCTGTAGCTAGAAATTACTCCACACTGGAGCTGTTAAAACTAGGAAAAACTTACAAGCAAGCAATCAAAGAGCCCCTAGTTGCGTGGCTTGTGAGTGCGGAGAATGGGAGCAAGTAACGTTAGTCTAAGTCCTTCAGAAGTTTCACAGCCGAGTTATATAACCACCCATCCATCCTTGTGATACAGGCTGTTGAACCTAGGCCAATGCAAGGGGGAGCAAAGCAATATATGACACCCAGTTCACTGGGCCAGATAAGACTGTGTTCACCAGAGATATAAAGGAATGCTTAATTCAACTGGGACCTTGAAAATGGTATGGAGCTTTAATGGTTTTGCTAAGCCCTTTATGGGACAGGATCTTTGTGAAGTGAGAGAGGCTTTAGCAGTTCTAAATGATACTAACCAGCATGTAAAATGTGTGTGCAGAATAACAGACCACCCTACAAGAGATATTGGTCCGTTTGGGTTACTTGAAGACAAATGTGGCAAGACTTATGTCGAGCCCAAATTCCCAGAGAAAAAATTGATAGAACACCAAATTAGGTACTAAAGAGTTTCTGGAAGGCTTTAAAACCAGAACAGTTGACAAAAGGCATTCAAAGGATAAAAACTGTCCTGGGGTGGTTAAAAATCCCCAAAGATTAAATAAGGTACATTTCTCTTCTGATAAAGGCTATACTAGGGGTGGAGGCAGTTTTTCCCACCAAGGCCTACCCCAGCAACCAGGTGTGGTCAATGGAGAGATAACAGATATGGCTACAGTCAGGCAGCAGACCAAGGGCCTGCCTGACTCAGGTAACCAACAGACATAGCAGGAACAAGAGAAACTCCCTGCCTCCTTAGCCCAGTGCAGGGTCAGGAAACTGGAGCCAACACCTGTAACTGTATCAAGGACAAAAGAATACAAAGAGACTCCATGTAAAATCCCCCAAGTGTGAAATGACTGCAAAGGGATAATTAAAGATAGTAAAGAACTAACCAAATTAATACCTTGTACCCATGCTATGGTACCTAACAAAGATCTATGGAGAAAATAGTTAATATGAATGGATAAAACCTTTCCATGCTGTGTTAGGCCTTGTCTATGATTGATCTAATATATAATGTTAACCTTCCTTCAAGTATTTTACATATGTGAAACCCATTTGAATGATATCTGAAGAAGCAAAAGCTGGCTATAGCTATAAGATTCTTGGGAGTTTTATGGTTGGATAAGATAAAAACAGAGGCTCTGAAACTTTAAAACTGTTAAATAAATCTACCTAGAATCACAGGCAGTATTTCCCAAATATTAATTACGTATTACTGGGTGCCAAATGATGCAACAGACTGGACTACACATTGATAAGCTAACACAGACAGAGTTGTGGTCTTGCATAAGTACAGGATACCAGGGGAGACATTTTCATGTCTGTGAAGGAAAGAAGCATGTTGCTGTAAAAGTGTATTTACAGGATAAAGATAGCTAGAATGGGTCAGTAAAAATTTTCAGAAAGAAGCAATACTTGGTTGAGTTTGACAGATGAAAATGAGTAACTACTACTAGGTAAATCAGAAGAATACGACAAAGATGCTTTGCGTAAATCATATCACTTTTTCGTATCACCTGAAGAAGTGACATAACTACAGAAGGGTTGGGGGTGGGGAGACTAGAGATATGAAGTTGGAGAGTTCAGCAGAAGTCAAGAGTACACAATGACTTGAGGTTTGAAAAGTCTTGAGAAATCACTACATGTGAAATCAGAGAGCCAGAGGGCCACCATGGACTCTGAGGGTACATGTGGGATGAGCGGGAGCACAACTGTAGCTGCTGCCTGGACGAAGGTAATTATGGCATACACAGCAAACCTCTGGCTTCAAAATTTGGGAAAATAAACTGTTTAAGGGGAATTGGACCTGACTTTTTTTTTAACTAGCCTAAGGTCTTGTTTCAAGACCTTGTTTCACTTGTTTTAATTACTCCGTTTATAATTTTTCTTTTCCTTGCCTCTGAAACAATCATAAAGTCTATAATCTTTACAAATAGCCATTGTGACTTCCACTAGGAAGGGAGCACCCAGCTTACTAGATACACAACACTAGAAGCAGGCTATGGGAACAAACAAAAGCACTCCTAACAAAGAGTTTTAAGTAACAGGAGAACGAAAGGAAGTTCGAGTTTGTATTTGTTATCAGACTCAAGAGCAGGAACTGTGAAGAAGTGCCCATCACTTCTCACACAGGCTGGAACCTGGAGAGTTTTCCTGTTCTCGCCTCCAAACTGACCTTACAACATGACATGAAGTTGTGAGGATACAAATGGGGCAACTACAGTTTCCCACTTCTAACTGGGTAAAAGTTTACACAACACTTTTTTCTAAAGTAAGATTGTAAGAGTTTTTTTTTTTTTTTTTAATTTTTTCCCGTGCATATTTACTTCCCCGGATTTTTTTTTTTTTTTTTTTTAACTTTGTACCGTGCATAGTTAACTTCCCAGAGTGTTCCTGTTTATATGCTTTATCATTTTTCTATCATATGACCTTAAGAAACAATTTGGTTGATTCCCACTCACAAGTAAAAGCAGGCCTTTGAAGGCCATGACAAGGTTTCATTTCAACCTGTGGCTTCATGGCAGGTTATTTTTTCTCATTCCTACATTATCCAGGTTCCTTGTCTCCCCATTAACATCAACTACTGGCAAACCCTCTCTTTAGCTACATTGATCCTGATATGAAGAAATACAAATTCTTTGTTAATATCAGTCTCTACACTTAAAAACCAGAACTAGCACTAAAAAGTCTACTTTAATTAGGAAACAGAGCTTTAAAAGAGCCAGTAATTGAATAATCAAAATAGTAGTGTTCATATGCTTGTTACCTGTGTCTCCAAGTTCATATAAGAGGAAGCCATCCATAGTAAGGTAATTCTGAAATCTCTCTCTGCTGATCCAGGAGGACAGATCGCCATCTTCATACTCTTGAAAATAAAGCAAAGGGTATGCATCAGAACAATTACAAGTTTAAGATAGATGCAATGTTTTAATCCAGCAATGTGAATAAAACATCTATGTATTGTAATTTGAAATCTGAAAATTGGTTCTCAAGTATTTTTAAGTATTTATTCCATGCAGAGTTTGTTTATAAATTTTAAAAGAACTTAAAATAATTAAATTGTAATGCAAATTAATTTTAGGCATGCATGTAAGTATATATAAAATAAAAATGGAAAGATAGTGACCAAATGTTCAAATACTCTCAAATGTCAACTTAAGTGATGGCTTTACAGGTAATTTTTATTGCAATTTCTTTGCTTTTGCAACTTTTTCTTATACATAGAACTTAAATACACACATGAAACCATAGTATATTAACTTTATTCCAACATCAAATAATTTCTTTTCTAGGGTGACAGAAAATATTTAAAGGAAATACAACTTGATTAAAAACTTAATTCTTGGAGCTAGAAAGATGACTCAGCAGTCAAGAGCACTGGCTGCTCTTGTAGAGGACCCAGGTTCCTTTCCCAGCATCCACATGGTAGCTAACAACCATCTCTCACTCTAGTTCCAGGGGATCCAATTCCAATGCCACCTCTGACCTCCGGGGGCATTGTACAATATTGGTGTACTTACATGCATGTAGACAATAGACTCATACATGCAAAATAAAATAAAAATAATAAATAAAATAAAAATTTAATTAAGTAATTTTGAGAAGATTGTGAGAAAAACATGAACAAACTACTGTAAAGCAAAAGTCCTTAAAACCCTACCAGTATGTGTGCTACACTGGACTGGAATGACTGGCTGAAGGTATGCTTTGTTATCTTTAAGCACTGCTAAATAAAACATTAAAAAACATTTTTTTAAAATTATTTTTATGTGTATGAGTATACTGCCTGCATATATGTAAGCGTACCCATGTCATGCAACGTTCATAAAGGTCAGGAGAGGGTGTCAGATCCCCTGGAACTGGAATTAAGTACAGTTGGGAGTATCATGTGGGTGATGTGAACCGAATCTAGGTTCTGTAAGAACAGTCAGTGCTATTAACTGCTGAGTTAGCTCTCTTGCTCCTACACAAAACATTTTAACCTATCAAATCTATAAAACAAATAGTATAATGCAAATCTGAAAGTATGCTGCTAGATTTCGGATGAACTAAAATTACAAACTGATTCTTAGGTTATGATCTTGATTCCATGTCCAGAGCAAATGAGGATTCCTAAAGCTGGCAGAAAGTGAAAAATGTAAACTCTTCAGAAAAACTGTTCCCCTAGTATAATCCCAATGCTTCCAGATTCATAAACACTCAGAATATATATATCTGACATATTATAAAACATATGGTCTACCTGAAGGCTTTAGGCAGTCTCAAAAGACTGTACATAAAGGGCAGCAAACTGGTGTGTACGATGGCTACAGAACAGCACCTGCCCCTCTGTCTCTACAGGAGACCATCAGAAGCAGGAAGTGACAAAGGAAGGGGGCTTTTTTAAGCAAGCTCCAAGAATATGTGTAAACCTGAATAAATATCAGACTTTTTTTCTTCTAAGAAAGAAACGGGTAGCTTTCTGAATTATGGAACTCTTAATGGGACTGGAATTAAGAGATCTGAAGGCTGAATCTTGTTACTACCAAATATTTGAGCAGGAGAGAAAAAGGAAAAAAAAAAAACTCTACATAAAAATATGTAAAATAGAAACAATGGTTAAAAATACACTAAGTGCTCCCATGAATAGTTTTATAATCAGAGAGTAGGTAGATAAAAACAGAGCTATGGGTTATTTATTTTCTTCTATATTTATGTGTGTAAGTTTCTCTAAATTCCTTTACAGCTTGGTGTTTAAGACATTCAGCAAGCATCCCAGGAATACAAGATGCCATGAATGAATCTCCTATTTCACTGTGCATGCTTCCCTACCTAACATTCAGGTGATTTGGGACCATAACCTATCTGCCATACTACTTACCTCATAAATGATTTAAAGAATAAAATAACAATACAAATTATGGGGCACAGTACACCTATAATAATTTACATATATGCTAGTTTCTGTTATACAGCAAGAAATTAAATGTAGTTCAACTAAACACAATAAAAAATAGACGTGCTTACTTTTCTCAGAATGACTGTCCAAATACCATGCTTCTTTACTACAACAATTAAAATAATCCTTTCGTCTTTAGTCAACCCACAACAACGGTTTTGCCTAAAAAAATGGGTGCAACGCCTGCAAAGGACAGAAGAGGGCACTGGAGGCCTTGGAACTAGAGTTTCTGATGGTTGCTAGTTGCCATGTGGGTGCTGGCAACTGAACCCTGGTCCTCTGCAAGAGCAGTGAGTGTACTTAACCACTGAGCCATTTCTCCAGCTCCAAACCCACATTTTAAAAATGGGAGGATAATGAAGCACCCTGTCAAAAGCCATTAGGCTTTACTTTGAAATGTTTAAAAAAAAAAAAAAAAGAACTGCAGAAATGTGAGATCCTGTCAACTGTTCAAGTAACAATGAGCAAATATGGTTTTAGTCTATCATTCTTCTGATACATGGTTGATATCAAAATTAAAAAAAAATTCAAATGAGATGAAGTATTTGCCTGAAGGAAATGGTTCCTCTGACAGAGAGGGAGAGGGACCTAGGGAGAGTACATGGGGCTTCACACTGCTGAGGAGGTTGAATTTCTTCATCTCTCTATGCATATGAAATGTTGGCTATCTCCTTAAAGTCTGAATATGTTAAGACATAGAAATAGTATTCAGTTTATTTCTCAATGTAGCAAATAATTTGACAGAAAAAAATTCACTTTAGGTAAAACTCACAGTGAAAGTATACTGATGGAAAAACTACTGATGAAGGGTTAACAGTAGCAGCATTTATAGAAGCTTTTATAAACACCTCCTATAATACTGTTTTAATTATGCAATGGTTTTGTATAAGTTAAAGCTTTAGAACTCACCATCGTAAACAAAGTACGTTTCATCTTTGAAAACAAGCACAGCGGGCATCTCTTTCAGTATCACATACTGCAAAACATCAGAAGTTTAACTTTCAATACTAAAAAAAAAAAAACTTAGTACCTATGATTTCAAACACACTGAACCATACTACAAAACACACAACAACAACAAAAGAAGAAACTAAAAAGATCACAATTAGAAGTTCAGGCAAAGGTTATTTCTGAATGTTGTAGACATCCCCTAGCAGCATACCATCTGCCATGATAAGCCATGGATTCCTCTAAGAGACCCAGAGATATCATTCTAGGAAGGAAAGATGGAGGGACTCTGGACTCAAAAGAGCAGGACCGTGACATCAGAAAACAAATACTGTCCAAACTATATCTGCTTTATAGACAAGTTACCATTATCTTATCAATAAGGGTTTATTCAAAAGTACCTCTATCTGATGGTACTTACTTCAAAAAAGTAAAATTATGGCTATCAGAGTAGAAGATAAATGAGTAAGCACTTATCCATGGGTATTTAAACATGAGAATAAGAAATAAAGGGAGTCAGGGCCACTGTGCACAGAAATAGTACCAGAAATGATTCTGTTATATTACTTCAAAACTTATAGAACATCAGGAACAAAACTGCTTCTCAAAGTGACCTAGCTCTCAGGTAAGGTGCTATAATTAAGCATGTCAGCATTCACTTGCTCTTGGCAGCTCAACAAAGCTGCCGGGAAAATGTCTTTCAGCATGTAGCACCTTTCTCTTTCCTGGAGATTAAATGACTCTTCCTGGAAGGACTTGCAGCAAACGATCTAGTCCCATATTCCTACCTGTCTTCTCTGTATTCCTTTAAATTCATTAGCCCAGGTTCCATTTATTTCTATACATGTCATTTTCCTCCACTCATCTTTAAACATTCTTAAGTTAAAAACTGTCTTAATTCATTGGGATAGTTTTATTGGAAGTTTTCATAAATCCTAGTAATAAATTTTATGGGATTCTGAATAATAAATTACTAATATTCAAAATATGGGCAGTTCAAATTTATAAATTTTGTCACTTTTTGAGCACTGTCTATAGTAAATAAAACAAAACAAATTTTCTTATCATTCTGAAATAGCTTTTATTTCCATAAGTAGATTTTTGCAACTGGATACTCAAACTTAAAACAGAGATAACAAACACTAACATCCCTAAGAATAAATGTATAAACACGAGCTACCCTGCAAAACAATTGGACAGCAAACTAAATACACTGGAATGGGTATGTTGACAAAATTTGAGGCTCTTTACCTTGTTGAAATCATTTTGGAGTTCCCATTACAAGATTGAAAATAAAGTTCTTTCTTATATCCCGTTCATTTACTAACTCCCAAGCTCAAAGTTCAACTGATCCTGGCCCTTCTTTCACACCTGTCTAATTCACTGTGCACTGAGTGCTTTCGACTGCACATTCCTTATCAGCTTCCACCTCATTACAAATGCTACAATGTACAAGGCACAAACTGGCCTCTTCCTGTGTCCTATCCCCTTTCTCACTGCATTGTAGAACCACTGGCTACTGTTTCGTTTCTCAACTATGTGAGGTATGCTTTTAAGTCTTGAGTGCATGTACTATCGCTTCTGCTTCAGGCAGTCTGTCCACAGACCTTCCCACAGCTCCTCCATATCAGGCAAGCTCCAGTTCATGTTTTCTTCTCAGACAGGCATTTTTCGATCAAAAAAACAGAGTTGTCACAGCAACCACACTGCCCATTTAATTTTTGGTAGCATTTATGTACTCTCGTCTATGTAAGATTTATTTACTGCTGGGTCTGAAGGCCCAAATGAAGACTTGCCTTTCAACAAGTACATGCATATACACATAAGTTAACATAAGCAACTTCTAAGTTTGATGTATATCAGTGTTTATCAGTATTAAAGAGAAAAAAAGTCATTAATATTAACAACTACACTCTCTAAATGCCATGAATGTACTGACATCTGCTCAAGAATAATGGTCAGCATGGTGGTACACTAATTAAATCTAGCACTCAGAAGGCAGAGGCAGGCAGATCTCTGTGAGGTCAAGGCCAAACTGGTCTACATATCAAGTTCCTGGCCAGATAGGGCTACAGAGTGACCCTGTCTCAAAAACATAAACAAACAAACAGTTTGATATCAGTAGTAAATATTTCACTCTTTCCATATAACACAATGAATAAATCTAAGAGGTAAAATCAAACAATAATTTTTAAAAAATTTTACCATTAAATCAAAATGTAAATATTACCTCAGGAACCACATCTTCTGAGGCAGAAAAGAAGTATGTATATACAATTAATTCTGAAGCAGCATCTATGTATTTTTCCTATGACAATACAAACAGAAAATGAGTATTTAAAGCATCAAAGATCAACATTCAGTTCTCAATCAATAATCAATGGTATTTTATATGGTAATTAGTATAAGCAATTTGCTACCATTTGACAGTTTTGATGAAAGGACAAAATATAAGCAACTCAAATATCTGTTTCTAAGGCAAACCATTGTAACTTAAGTGCTTCTGTCCTCTTCCAAAGAAAATGGATTAAATATTGCTTATGGCTGACCAAGTTTATTAACAAATAAGACTGAATGAGGATGACTGCAGGGAAGATCTGCACATGTACACAGACATACAAGGCTTAAATAACCAGCTCAGTAATATAAAAAAAATACTAAAGGGGGATAAAGGGAAGGCTCAGTGGTTAAGATCAGAGGCTGATCTTGCAGATGAGCTGGGTTTGAATCCCAGCACCTACATGGTGGCTAACAACCATCCCCAAACTCCAATTCCAGGGGATCCAACACCTTCTTCTGTCCTCTGTGGGCACGACATGACATGGGTGCAATTACAAACATCAGGCAATACACTCACACACAGAAAATAAAAATAATACTAAATAAAACCGTTTTTAAAAAGAAATACCAAGGTCAGCAATATCTACACATATTTCTACTCACTTCTGTTTCACAGTAGCAAACATGATATTAAGACAAGTGTTTTCATTTAAAAAAATACTTGGATTAAGGTAAATTTTTGTTTTGAGGTTTTGGTGAACTTTTTGATGCACAGCAAATGAAATTACAACACTATGTCTTTTCATGTGGAACAAAAAGATAATTCCATACTTTCAAGGGTGATTCTCCACCAATGTACACAAAAAATACACGATGCCTCTTTCGCACATGGTCGAACATTTGCTGACTTGGAAGTGGCCGAATCAGAGCCCTGTTCGAAAACAAAGCGAGCAAGTATGAAATAAATACTCTATAATTAATTGCCATTAATATGACTGTTGATCATGTTTAAAGTTACAAGCACTGTAGTAGCTGCACTGAAGTCTATCAATAGATCCATATAAGTTAAGTAAAACTCCAGTCCCGGATGCTAGCACACCACATAGTAACAATTTAGTACCCAGAACTTAATGTGTCAGTTTCAGAAGTTTCAAATACACCTCTTCTGACACCATCAATAATATTTTGTTAAGTGAAAAGCAGAAGTACCATCAACTACAGTCCTTGGCTAAAAATAAGACAATTCACTGGCGAATCCTTTCCCTTTTCAAAAGCACATTTATAGAAACAGACTGAAATAGTATCCCAGGAGTAAACAACAGTTAATATTTAGATAATACCTGTCAACTTAAGTGTTATGTAATTCTTAAATACTCTATCAAAGTTAAAGCCCCAAGTTTCTAATTTATATTACTTATTTTCAGAAAAAATTAAAACAGAAGCAACAGTTATACTAGTACAAAGAGAAAATAATTCTACAAAATTTTCTTACATTTTTCAAAAACAGAGAAATGAATTATACTAAAGGTTACTGTAAAACATCATTTATAAATATAACTAAAAAACTAAAAGATGCTGTTTTCTTCTTAATATGGCAAATATACTATACATTTAGTCCACAAAACTTACTAAATGAATAGAACCTATTTTGTAAGAAGAAACACATTCAAATCACCCAATTCTGGAGGTCATTGCATCACTCTCCCCTAGCTTCTGTTTGAATACTTCATAATTAACCAGTACATGATGCAACTCCAGAACTGACTCCTGAAATCTCACCTCTAATACAGTGTCCTCCGTTACATCAGGAGAATCCCTTTTTAAGGTTAAACAAAAACATGCTTAAAAACTGCCAAAAATTAGGACTAACTTAAGCCATGGGAGTAAAATACATCCTAGTAGCAGTCCCCTCAAATAGTTATTTCAAAATTTACTTATTCACAAAGTAAATAAAGAGGAAATATGTAACCAAAAGGAGAAAATACAATGGTAAACATCACAAATTTTAGTAAGATCGTTCCTAATTCTATGCATTTTCACAAAGATTTTGATGTATTACTCTACACAACAAATATATCCTATTTTTACTTAAAGCTACTTTTAATTACCAATATAGCTTGTCAAGCTAATAAGAAAATTCTTTCATTGATCTTGACAAATGTTCTTAGTAAGAAGATACACATAACCACATTACATAATCATAAACACTGACTTTCCTCTCTACATCTTAGCAAAATATAGATGTTTCATTAGGAAAAAAACATCATATTTATTTGTGATTTCAATTGTGAATTGCTTGTGGAGGAATCTGCTTCCTGACTAAAGGATCACTGGGTTTGTAATTACCTATACCAACTGCAGCCCAAAAGCACTAAATAGAAACAACCAGAACAAACAGTTGATAAGCAAAACTGGGTGCTTTTCTAAGTAATATGAACTCCCACTCTATCCTTTGCAATGCTGTTGAAAGGAACATAAAAAGACCAGCAAAGCATCTCTTTGCCCAGAGTTGTATACGCCACTTGCCTGTCAGTGATTTCATAGCCCTTTGGGACTTTGGATTGACTTAAGGAGCTATTTCAGGGCTTTTGCTCAAGTAAACCTTACTTAACAATCAACCCCAAATGCAGAAACAGTGATACTGGAAATCTAGATACCAAAAAACGGACTGAAGATCTGGTTGAGCAG